ATTTTTTTAATCTATTAAATTTTATTTAACACTTGACTCATTAATTAATATAATTATATTATTTATCTCTAAAATTTAATTTATTAGTTGATATTTTTAACTTTGTTAAATACTACTTAACATTTAACACATTGCTTAACATAATTATATTATTCACTATTTATTTAAATGATTTAAATATCTAATTTAGCTAAAAAATAATGAAATTCACTTTCAGCAACAAGAACCATGTTGCTGAAAGTGAAGAATACTTTTTTGGGGGAAAGTGTACTATTTAAGCGAAATCCGGTCATGAATAGTAACCAAAAATTTTCAGTAACATGGTTTTTGTTGTTGAAATTCATTTTCAGCAACAAGAACCATGTTGCTAAAAGTAAATATCACTTTTTGCTAATTAATTTATGAAATTGGTGCAAAATCCGGTCGTGAACAGTAACCAAAAAATTTCAGCAACAAGAATCATGTTGCTAAAAGTAAATACCATTTTTTGCTAATTAATTTATGAAATTGGTGCAAAATCCAGTCATGAACAGTAATAAAAAATTTCCAGCAACAAGAATCATGTTGCTAAAAATAAATATAACTTTTTGGTAATTAATTTATGAAATTGGTGCAAAAATCCGGTCATGAACAGTAACAAAAAAATTTCAGCAACAAGAATTATGTTGCTAAAAGGAAATACCACTTTTTGCTAATTAATTTATGAAATTGGTGCAAAATCCGGTCATAAACAGTAACCAAAAAATTTCAGCAACAAGAATCATGTTGCTAAAAATAAATACCACTTTTTGCTAATTAATTTATGAAATTAGTGCAAAATCCGGTCATGAACAATAACCAAAAAATTTCAGCAACATGGTTCTCGTTGCTGAAAATAGTTTTCAGCAACAAGAACCATGTTGCTAAAAGTAAAAAACACTTTTTGCCGATCAATTAATGAAATCCGGTCATGAACAGTAACATAAAATTTTCAGCAACATGGTCATTGTTGCTGAAATTCATTTTTAGCAACAAAAACCATGTTGTTAAAAGTAAATAACACTTTTTGTTAAAATGTGTACTATTTAAGTATCAGCAACATGGGTTTTGTCGGTGAAAATTCATATCACCGACAAGCAATTTCATGTTGCTGATGCTTAGTTGTTGAAACCAAAAATTTTAGTAGTGAGGAAAAAAAAATTAGCATTTAACCTTAATTTTAATAAAAAATAACAAAAAAAAATAAAATCAAAATTAAAATAGAATAGTTCAATTAATAACACAGTTCACAACAAATTATACGAAACAATTGTAGTTTCTGCTCTAACAAAGAATTATCAAAAGGAAAAATTGAAATAATATATGATAAAACTTACAGTTACTCAAACAGTGAAAAGGACATTATCATCATCACAAAATTAGTTTTATTTTAAAATTAATTTTAAGAGTAAAAATTTATAAAAGATATAGTTGAAAATCAATTTGATCAAATAGAATAAAATTATTAATAAACAGTTAACAAATTAAACTAAATTGAAATAAAATAATAAAATAATAAATGAATATAAAAATATTTAAAAATAATAAATGAAATATAAAATATATAAAAATTACTAAATTATTTATTAAATCGGCCTGAGTATTAAGGTATTGGGGATAACAAGAACGGCGGCATATATACAAAAGTATTTATTTTACTCAATTAAGTTTTTCCTTGATTACTGATAAAATTTTTTATCCCAATTTTTTAACAAAGTTTCACGATTTGGCTGCTTGATTGTAGCTGGTATTTGGTAAAATTTGAATTCCTCGATAGAACTTTCACTCCAACATTTTTGCGATCTAGCTATAGGTGAAAACCGCATATATATGGTAAAATTCTATAGGTATATCCCATTGGAGACCTGTATCTAATGATAAAAAAATATATGGCCTGTAGTTAGAGATATTAAATCAAGTTTGTGACTATATTCTTATGGTGTTATATGTAGTAGGTAAAAGATTAATAACATTAGACATATATTTAAAAAACAGTAAATAAAACAAAAAATTTACAATGTGCAACTGTAGTTAAAGAACAATGGCACTAACATAATAATAGTTTTCATATTAGTTTTTAATGATTATGTTTATCATTGTTAATAATATTTCATAACAATACCACAAGTTATTACCCAAAGTACAATTTTACAGCCAAAATCAATTGTTATGCAAAGAACAACACCCAGAAAAATATTGTTAAAAAAAATAAATTAT